GAATACCGAACATGCTATCTAAAACCCATGATACTTCTCCTAATTCACTACGATGAAAAAAAAAATTATTATTATTATTATTATTATTATTATTATTATTATTATATTATAGATTTTTGTTTGAGATTTATTTACTAGAAATAGAATTATTTTTCTAAAGGATTTTTTTTATTTTCGTATTGAATTTGCGTTCAATGATCTTAATTAAAAAAATCATATCCTATCTATTTTATATCAGATTTAATTTATATATGTATAATTATATTGGTCATATTCATTTTTCGTGTGAATAAAATAGAAAATAATGGTTAATGATTTTTTTATCTAAAAAAACTTGCACAATTTGGTTTTTTAGTTTCTCCCTATAATTCAATCCATACTTAAAATTTCAGAGACATATGCATGTGAATAAGTTTATGAAAATAAGACATGATATCTCTTGCTTTGTTCCCTATTAAATAACCACATCGGTCTTATTTTATCAAAACAAGGGAAGTTTTATTATTATAGTTTATAAAGATATCATATTTCTTGCATTGCTTTTATTTAACAAATATGTGATTTAAGTTCCAACTATCACTAAAAAACAATTTTTTATAAATGTAAATTATATTACCAAAAAATGAATTTAGTATAAAAATTGGATTTCTATAGTATTATCGAAAACATAGATTTTTCATATTTTATGGAATAATAAACCACTAAGGCAAATAAAAATAATTTCGATATAAATTAAATAGAATAATTATGATTAAAAAGAAGCAATTTGCAAGGGTTCAATTGAGTTAATATGCCAAAACGTCTTTGGAATTGTGCCTTAAATACAAAATTTTACGAAAAAAATATATTATATTAGAGATAAATCGAACGTACCGGAATGAGAGGGATCCGAGGGCTGTGTAGATATGCGACTTCACAGTCTAAGATTGTTTAAAAGGAATTAATTGAGCTACTCATACCAACAAGATGCATCTACCTTTTCGGTTGCCCATCTCGAGAGAACTCCAAAGTTAAGTGTGCTGGTC